AATCTTTATAGTACGAGTGAAGTCCAAATTAATGAAATGGGAAGTTATGATAAAATTTTGACTGCCTGGTCAATTTAAGAGATGGGAATTGAATATTTTTGCTCATGATTTTTTTTTTATTTCCACAATAAAATGCCATAATTACCTTTGTTGAAAAAAAAAACACTATAATTATAGCATTATACAAAAGTTAGCACGTGCATTTGAAATTTTCTTTTTGGGAAGAAGGCATTTGTAATGTTATTAATTATTCTTCTCATGGCTTTTTTTTTAACGTAAAAAATATAATATGTGCGATAATTATGGGGAAAAAACATGTTAGAGATTTAAATTAGTAGACATTTAACGTAATTTCACTTGTTTAGAAAGTCGAATACATTATCAATATGAACGTAACCATGGTACTACATTTCTATCGACATATTAGTATTTCTATCAACATTTTCATATGTTCATCAATCTAACATGGGCCAGTTTAAATTAAATATATATATATATATATATGTATAAAAATCTAAACCTAACCACGGTATTACATTTCTGATACTTCTATAGTAAAGGAAAAAAATGACAAAATATAAAAAAAAATATATATCATTGATATCAACCTAATATTATTAATAATAAATTTTAACTCATTTGAAAATGGTAGGTTTTTATTTATTAATTCCAATATTGGTTACAATTTTTCTATTTTTATAACTTTTCCAAAAATATCCACCAATATCAACATTTTTATCGATATTTGTATCGACATTTTTATTAGCATCGACATTTAAAATCTTGAGCATAATTTAATTGGTTATAAGATTATGCATCTATTCTAGATGTCAAATGTTCAAATCCTTATATTGTTAAATGGAAAAACGAAAATAGAACAAAATAAAGTCAAATACTCATAGCTCGCGCAGGTGACAACAGGTAAAAGTAGTATGCATACTTAAAACATAAAATTTAATCGAGACAAAATATGATGGTAAATAACAAAAATGACCAAAATAGTTATTTTTGAAAAAGTAGACCAAAATCGACATTTTAAAGTTTAGAAATAGGAACCAAAATAGAATAAATGTAAAAGTTTGAAGATTTAAACCTATAAATTATAAAGAAAAAGTAGCAAAAGTTCCCTCAAATGGATTCAATTAATAACTATTCGATACCTTTGTTTTCAAAAACTGTTTTAAGATTCTACGATCCAAATAATATAAATTCTAAAAACAACATTTTTCAGATTATGAAATTTGAAACTATAAAATGCAAAAATTACGTAAAGATAAAAACTTTATATATCAGGTTATAATCTCCTTTCATTTTTTGTTAAAATTAAAAAATGCAAAATATAATATATATTTTAAAATGTATAAATAGTGTAAAATAATAATTCTACCAAACTTATAACATATTTGTTAATAAATCAATTAATAATATTTTAGATTTAACTAAATATTTAGTAAAGAACTCTCATTAATTTACAAATATATTACTAAACATCCAAACAATTTTTTAAATGGAGATTCAATTTCTAAATCTGTTACCAAACACATCTCTAAAAACATTTAAAAAAAAAAAACACTGTTATCATTGAATCCCTTGGTTTCAGACCACCAACCATACAAACTCTTTGCAACTCATATGGAACTAAATAAGAAAAAAGAAGTTACAAAGGAACAACAAACCTCTATCACTTCAAATCATTCTTGTTTCAAATAAGATAAAGAGTTTAAAACTATTTCTCGAATTTCAAATCATTTATTGAACTTTCTTGATGTCAAATAGAAGGTTAAAGATTAGTAGGGAATTATGGTTGTCAAAAGACAAATGCTTATCAAACACGACATGAACATGGAAGCTAAATCGTACCGCCTCACCGGCTAGTAAAATAGAGACCGATCAATGTATGGGAATCTAGAAATAATAACTCTTATCATCTAAAAACATATGTTGGAAAGAAACAAAAATCTATTGGAAAGAGATAAAAGGACATTGTTACGAGTTTTTGGTTGGATGAATAATGTAGAACTCAAAACATATATCTTTTGATGACCGTGAGCAGCTGGTCAACCATTTATGCACACCTCGACTAATTTCATGGGGTGAGAGAAAACAGTTCAAACCATTAAAAAAAAAAGTAACAAAAAAAATAATATTAGAAAAAGTACCATTTAAATAAATTGAAGGATTTCAATCATACATACCTCGCTTGCAAAATCTGTCAAAAACTTCATTTTTTGAAAATCCAATGTTGGAGAATTAGATTAACCAATGCTGCATATTCATCAAATAAGCCTGCAAAATGTTAAGAAATTACAAAATCATGTTACATAGAAGACAATTCCTCTCTCTTAAGAAAATCCTCCTTCTCCAAAGGAATACAAAGTTTCTAAGTATTCTATGCACTTTGTAATTTTGTAAAGGCAAATGATTTTATGATGCTAAATACGGATTTTAATTATACGTTTAAAATAAGAAACAAATTTGTTCTTCATCTAATCTTCATAAGTGGAGTTCATGAAAATGTTGTCATGTCCATCGAAGATCAAGTAAAACACGAAAAGAGAGAGTGAAAGACTAGCAATGCAGTAGCAGTACTAAGGAGAAAGCAGAGCGAAGTGAAGTTTCTACCTGTTAATGATCAGATAGTCTACCATCTTAAGCACTGAGATCTGCGTTCGGCATTGACAAGGCTTAATCTCTAGACATTGGATTCAGTTCTACTATCAACTCATTGCATATCTCGATTGACACTATCAAATGAAATCTCCTCTCAGTTCCAAAAGATTGGAGAGAAGTAATATAGAAGAGAGAAGAGTACCAATATGAACAATGACACAACTATAGGAAGTCGTAGGCGAAGAGGCACATAAAGGCACCATTGTTGCCATATCCTCGAGGCAACACTCCACTCAATTAAGACACTTTACAACGAAAAGCTCCCAATAAGAGAAAGAAAGAGATGAATAACATGCTTGCATCACATCAAGAAGAAAAATGGAGAAATAGCAGAGATATCAAAATAAAGATTTTTTTTCCTTTTGATATTTGTGTGTGTCCGGGCCAGTTTGTTCACACCTCGTCTAATCACAAGCCAATCGACTAACCCTACTACATTTGGTTGACAAGAAAACTCGTAGAATATTAAATCTTAGGTAAGTGGGCAACATGGTTTGAACCCCTAACAAGAGAGGAATAGAGGCTTTGTTTTATTTCCAAATAGGTGGACAATCAAGGATATTTATTTGACACAATCATTAATCAACGATTCACGTTACAGTAGTAAACTCGTCAATGTACATGTCTTACCGCTCATCGATCTCTCTCTAAAAGAAAAGAAAAGGTCATTGCAATTGCCTATACTATACTACCATATCTCAATATAAATTCAAAACTTCATCTAAAATGTATCCAATATCACAAAGTTGATTTGCCAATGCATTCAATTCTGAATGTGTCCGATCTCCAGTAAGAAAAACATGCACCCCATCCTTGAGTTCAATCCAACTACAACCTGGTGTCTTCTTAACATTTTGTTCCTTCATTGTTTTTCTAACCTCTAAGACCTCTCCGTATCGACCTACAACACCATAAACGTTAGACATCAATACATAACTCCCACAATGCTCTGGTTCAAGTTGCATTACTTTTCGTGCAGCAACTTCAGCCAACTCTGCATTCCCATGAAGTCGACATGCTCCTAATAGAGCCCTCCACACAATGGGATTGGCTTGAATAGGCATTTTTTGGGCCAACTCATAAGCGTCCTTCAGATGCCCAGCTCGACCGAGCATATCAATTACACACGTATAATGCTCAATAGTTGGAATAACACCGAATTCAGACTCCATTTGAGCTAAAAACAAACGCCCTTGACTCACGAAACCTGCATGATTGCATGCCGATAAAACTCCAACAAACGTAACTTCATCTGGCTTAATTCGGGCCTCGCACATGCAAGAAAATATATCCAATGCCTCCATGCCATATCCATGCATGCCATAACCCATAATCACAATGTTCCATGATGCCACATCCTTATTGCTCATTAGATCAAAAACCATGAGGGCATTTTTCATACTTCCACATTTTGCATACATATCCATAACAGCATTATTTACAAGCAAATCATCTACACCTCCATCCTTTCCAAATCCATTAACAATCATATATCCATGGATTTCTCTACCATGCATGAGCGCAGCCAAATGAGAGCAAGCTGGAAGCACAGTTGTGACGGTTACTAAATCAGGTAGAATCCCGGACCCTAACATCTTATCAAAAAGCCTCAAGGTACCATCGTGATCACCATATTGTTCATGAACCGATATAATCGAATTCCATGAGAATATGTCCTTCTCATCAATCATCTTGAAAATCATTAGAGCATCTCTGATATGCTTGCATTTCCCATACATATCAATTAGCGCGTTCAAAACTGCAACTCCCAAATTATAACCCATTTTTGTCACAATTGCATGAACTGTTCTCCCATTGTTTAAATCTCCCCTTAAAGCAAAAATAGATAAAATGCCAGTAACTGTAAACCTACTAGGTAAAATCCCTTCTATACTCATTCTTCTGAAAACTTCCAATGCCTCATCAAGGCAACCAATCTGGGCATACCCATTGATCAGTGCATTCCAAAGCACAACATCTCTTATTGAAAGTTCTTCAAATACTTTTTGTGCATTCTCCATTAAGCCAATCTTTAAGTAAGTATTTACTAAAGCACTACCAACAAACATATCCAATTCCAACCCCATTTTAAATAAACATCCATGAATTTTCTTCACCTCCATAGCCTCACAACAAGATCTAACTACGCACGGAAAAGTGTATTTATCAGGCATTACACCCTCTAACCTCATTTGCTTATAAAATTGAAGCCCATTTGAAGCAAGTCCGTTTGCGACAAACCCAGAAATCAAAGCATTATATGCAAACACATTACGCTCGTGACATGGATCATGGAAAACCAAAATGGCCTCCTCCATTTGACCACATTTGGAGTACATGTTGATTAAGCTAGTGATGGATGAAGGTGAATGAGAAAAACCATAGGTGATCATGAGGGAGTGAAGCTGTTTTCCTCTGTTGAGATTCTTGTGGTCAGCACATGATTGTAGAAATGAAATGGATGTGGTTACATTTTCGAGCAGTTGAAAAACCGAACACTTGGAAGGTGGAGAAGTAGAGAAACTAAGAAAGGAAGAAAAAAGGTAGTGCTTCTTGGAGACAATTTTGGAGAAGTTGATCTTTTTGGTTGTTAAACACCAAGCTAATCTATCGACAACGTCGTCAAAAACTTTGTGTGGTTTTAACATATTCGACACCATCACCTACAACGACAAGATACCAACCAAATAAATAAATCAAATCTACTGACAACGTACAAATGAGAACGATCACCTAAAACAGAGCAAATTTTCTGAAACCATCTACTAACATTCTTCCTTTTTACGAGTCTTTCATGCATTTACAAGAGTCGTAACACCATCAAAATACATTACTCGACCCTCAACTCATTATCTTTCTTTCCGTTTTTCATGTATTCATCTAAAAAACATATATGAACACTTACGGGCAATACGAAAAAAGAAAAACTCAATACAAAAGGTTGCTGAGAAAAAAAAACCAAAATGCTAACCAAACTACACAATTACTAAAAAGGGGATCCAGTTCAAAGTAACGAGATGTAAAAGGGTAATCACAAGAATTCTCAGTAACCAAAACCCATCAAACCTAGTAAGATAAACAAGAAAACTCAAAAATAAAGGAGAAAAAATGAAAGTTCGAATCCTACCAACACCCAACTGTCCAAATAATCCACACAATTTAGGTTTCCAAGCACAAGTAAGTAATTCTACAGTGGCCTGAACAAATGAAACAAAATCCAAAAGATTCTGAATGAACCAACAATACAAATGACATAATGGAACTCACATTCTAATGGCGGCAAGAGATTTCACTTCGCATTGCAGCCATTTCCTACCTTAAGAAGCATCCATTTTCACTACCGCCAAAGAGGGGCTTCTCTTTTTAGCTCCACGGGTCGCCTAGATGAATGTGAGAGAAATTGAGATTCCTCCCTCTTTTTTCACAATCTGTTTTTGGTCTGCAATATCCCAGCAACAAACCAACCAAACAAAATGATATAATCTTGAGCAACTAAATTTTTCAGTTCCATATCTTTCCCCGTCGCCGCCACCGACGTGAGTTCGCAAGTCGCCGGTGGGAAGTGTTGTCTTCTTCGCGTTGTAGAAATCGCCGTCGAAGGAAAAGCAATCGCCGATGAAGAATCTGAAATCGTCGCCGAAGAAGAAGCCGAAATGGCAATTGATTTTGCGATTCGAAGAGAGAGAGATGGGCGTGTGACTAGAGAATTGGGCTTCGACTTGGGCTCTTATTAGATGTTCTTTCCCTTTGCATAAAAAAATACTTTTCGTATTCTTCAAAAAAACAAACTTTTCGTCTTGCCAATTTCAGCCATGTTACTTGCCGATAATCGGAATGAAAATGTTATTATTTTGATACAGTTTTACAGAAATTTTCTGAAATTAAAATCAGAATTTATTGGATGTTGTTTATTAAAACTGTAGTCGGAATAATTTAATCATTATATTTTCAAATTTGGTAATAATCTCGACCTTTAACTTTAATATATAAAAATCTAATCATCATTGTAATTTAAATATCTAACAATTTAATTTCTATTGTAAAAAATGTTGTTAAAATTTAATAGGATTTCTTATATAGGTAAGACGAAAAATTAGGTGTGTTGATGCGTGCAGGGACATGGACGAACTATTTTCTTTTCAAGTTAGTTATTTCCTAATAAGTCAAATGCCTCTCAAACCTAACATGGTTTATGCACATTGTTTTTTTTAATATTTTGATTAGGTGTCAAACCATATTTTTAATATGATCGGTGACAACCCTAAAATTATTTATTGAAATAACATTCTTAGAGGATGTTCCCTGTTCCATGGTGTGATGCGACAGTTTGAACAATATTTTAATAGAGATCATTCAATCTAAATATAGCTCCATGAATAAGGTACGAGGGAATGAATTATTATTATTATTTTTTTTGTTTTGAGCATGAAGATAGATCTCCACCTACTTTCATAGAAAGAAAATAAAATACAAAACTTCATAAGCTCGAAATTCAGATAATGGAGAATTAGAGAGAAGAATTGCAATATCTTTTGTAAAAAAAAATTGCAATATCTTAGAGGGAATGAGTTCAAACCATGGTGGCCACCTACCTAGGATTTAATATCCTACGAGTTACCTTGTCAACCAAATGTAGTAGGGTCAGGCGGTTGACCTGTGATTAGTCGAGGTGCGCGCAAGCTAGCCCGGACACACGGATTTCAAAAAAAAAATTGCAATATCTATTTTTTCTTCCTTGAGTACGATTTATGAGCAATTAGTAAAAATAATAATAATAATAAATAAATAAATAATCCTAGGTGTTTGGGATTCAAAATTCAAAATATATGGACACCTCGAAATTAGACCACAAATTAAAAATATTCAAAAATTTCGCGAGGAAATCAACATCAATATAGTAAAAGTGAGGGACCTACAACAATTATAGAACATCCTGAATAATTGACCCATTTGTCAATTCTTCTATATCCTTTACAACCAAAGATTAAAAATACTTCCTATTGCACAACATGGGCCCTTTCGCACGCAGAGCCATGAGGCATCGAGTGAAATATAGGTATACCTTGTTAGTAATATACTAAACGGCCTATTACATGTCGCCACCCTACTAACTATATGAGCTAGTTGAAACCTAGCCACTGAATGGACGATCGTATTTTTCTCTAATCATACCAACCTCTTGGAAGGTAAATAACGTCTTAACCAACTGAAAATGCTCATGATGGATACACATGACCAGATATTTCAATTCATTGTACTTTTTCTAGGGTCATAGTCACGAGAAATTATTGGAGGAGACCACCACAATGTGGCTGACAGTTTTACACCGTTAAATTTATAAGAGAGAAACCTTAAAAATACTTCAAATTTATATCCAAGGATGATTAAGAACATGAAGATTTTCCAATAATATACATCCAACGGTTATTACGGGGTAGTGGCTTGGTTCGATAATCTTTTGATAATCATGTTTAAGTAGGTTAAATAGGCAATGATGAGAAGAATTTTCTAAAGTCTACGACCAAGGAATTCTCTTCTCTCTTTTATGGAACACCAGGACGTTTCGGCCCAAAAGGCCCAAAATTTGTGGTTGGGACAAGAAACATTCTTCTGAATTATTTATGATTTCATGTTTTTGAAAAATAAGACCTTTTCTTTTTTTTTTTCGTTAAATTTTTTTTGAGCAACTTTTTAATAAAAGACAAAAAATGGTAAATAATTAAATCGCCATTAATTTTACTGAGTTGTTTTAAAATCAAATATGTAACACAAATTTTAACTCGAAATAACATAACCTTTTATATATACATGAACTAAAATAGACTAATGATATAGTTTCACCTCAAAACTAGAAGAGTTAAAATGAAATTAAAGCAAAATAAAAGTACTAATTTAAAATGAATATTTTAAACTAGATTTAATTTTTATTATTATGCATTATAAGTTTTTATTTCATATATTATCATGTTTTTTTTTAATAAATGGTGAGTTAACTTTACCTCTATAGGTTGACTCAAAAAAATAAAATAAAAAATAAAAAAATAAAAAAATAAAAAAACTTTACCTCTATAGATAACATATTTAATATGGGTTGTTTTTATTTGTACCCTCCACCTTTTATCACAATTATTATTTGTTAGATTTTTTTAAAATACATATGAAACAACATAAAACTAAAAATAAATGAATAAATATCGGAGGATACCAAAAATTAAAACTTAAAATAAAAGAAAATAACTAAAAAAATGAATAAATATGGGAGGCTATCATCCACGTTGCCACGGCGGTACTGCAGTTCAACGTTACCCGTCGCTTGTTGCTATTGTTCGACGTCGCTCACAATGACTTGTTGGTGTGCACTCGGAGTTTAACGTTGGAAAAAAAAAAGCAACAGAGTGAACAGTAACAATAGGAGTAGGGGATCAATAGAGGATGGAGAAGGAGAAGAGGTAGGGGAGAGTAATTTTTTTTTGTTTTATTATTATTTTCCAATTATATAAGATGTCACGTCATATATTTTTATTATAAAATGCGTGTGACGCTCGAGTAGGAAGGAGGGATACATTGATGAATCAGTAACAAATCTGAATGAGAGGGATCTTGAGATCACATGGTTAAAAAAGACTTAGAAGAATTAATAGTTATGCATATTTCTTTTCGATTGCTCAATTATAAGAACTTCAAAGTTAAGCGTGTTTGGCTTAGAGCAATCTTAAATCAGTGACCTATTAGTTGATTAGGGACGAAATCGACCAGTTGTACAAATTTGATGGACCAAAAAGATACTTTACTTAAAAAGAAAATAATGGAAGTGAATATCATCACTTTTTACTTTTATGAATTTGGCCGTGGAAATTGTTTAAAGTTGGAAGTTTGAGGAATTTAGAAGAAGTTTTAAGATTAATATAAACAATCTAAATTTTGAAATATAATAAGTCAACCAACCATCAAATTATTAACAAACTCTATTAATCCTCTTGTTCTTAAATTGAATCTTCTAAAACGAAGTCATTTTGTTTTGTCAAATTGAAATCATTAAAACTAAATAATTCAAATTAGAGTATAATATGATTCTCGTAGCAAGAATCTAATCTAGTCTATTGTTTGCCAAAGAATATCTTCCTACTCTTCATTGGTAGAGTTATGTATTTTGAATAATGACAAGTCGATGGACGGATTACACGTCTGCATATCTAATAGGCATCAACATTTAAAATCTCACTAGAAAATAATTCTATATATCTTAGTCGATTTATTATTTGGAAATCGTTACTTAATTAAAATGTATTTTTTAATTTGTAGATCATGAAGAACCATGAGAGATATATTGGTGGTCCCGTCGAGCCGATATACTTTTCTCTAGCCAAGAGATATAAGTCCACGTAATTCTATTGTTACACACCAATTAAAAATGGAAGTTTACAAATATAAAAGAAAACCACAAAAATGGAAAAATAAATAAATAAATTTGTCGAAATAAAAAGGAGTCTAGAGAGAGGAGTTGACAGAAAAAGACTATTGACTTATTTAAAGCTAACGGTCAAATTCTGCTGCTTACGTTACAGTCACTGACCGGCCACGTGGTGCTGCCCTCGGTCATTTTCCGCTGTGAGATAAAGATTTTCACTTTTCTGACGTAAGGATGGCTTTTCTCTTTTTCCATTTCCATTTCCATTTCCTTTTTTCATATATATATATATTTTAAAAATATACATTTCATCCTTATATTTTTATTAAAATAACGATTTAGTCCATAAATTTTTTATTATAATGGTTTAGTACCTGAACACGATTTCATTTATGGAAACTGGGAGATTTTCATTTAAATTATTTATATATTATCTATGTAGTTTTATTTATTTATTTTAATATATAAAATATTATTTATTTTTTATTAGTATTTTAGTTACTTCATATTTATTTTATTGGTTTTTTAATATTATTTTTTTAAAAAAATGTATTTTTTATTTAAATTAAATAAATTTAATTTTATGTCAAATTAAGTTTTTTTTTTTACAAAATATGACTAATTATACAATAATTTATTTAAAAAATTCACTACAAATTGAAAATAAAAATACTTAAAATTTAGGTAACAATTAGACAAAAAAGATAATAAATCTATTTTAAATTTAAAATAATAGGATAATAGTTATACAGAGAAGAAAATTATTTTAAATAATACTAATTGAAATTGAGATATTTTTATAATAAAGAGATTAAAAGGTTGGAGAATAAAATTATCCTAAAGAATACAAAATTGAAATAAAAAAATGTAAAGAATAATGGGACAGAGAATCAAACGTGGGCAAGGAGGGAAAATTAGCTACAAGCTAGTTCCGAGGTGGATTTTGTGAATTTAGTTAAGAGTATATATACACTTTGTCAGTCCATGCTATTTCTATCCCAACACGTGGCTTTTTGGAGGCAATACCACATCGAAGTTGCGACTAATGGTTACGATTTTCACAAAATTGTAGTTATTAGCTTCGATTTAAGCTTAAATCGTGTCTCATGACTACGATTTTACCTCAAACTGCATCCATTACATGCGATTTACCTGACATCGTAGTCACTATCCTATTTTTGAAAATATTTTCAAACTTACATTATTTGTGTCATTTAAAAAAAATCTAAAACAATCAACAATAACTATAATTTAGTACTTAAAATATTTCTTCCGTTGTGACACTATCAAATCCAAAAATAAAATAGAAAATAAGATAGCTCTAAAG